TTTGCTTTTTGCCCCAAAAACGATATCCAGCTTGCCCCGTCCGTGCCAGCGTGCCAGGTCCTGTGTCCGTGAATTTATTTTGGCTCACGCATTTGGGGAAACGTCAAAAATTATTATGTCGCAAGTTTTGGCTAGATTTGGCAATTTCTCTGCAAGAAAACAATCTCAAAACAAAAAAACTTCCGAGAAATTTTCCAGGAAAGAAGCTCAACTTTATCAGATCAGAGACGCAGTTTGGTTAATTAAATACAGTCGAGTAGACTTTTCGCTTAATATAGTGTGCTTGCACTGAAGATGAAATGCGGTAAAATTTGCGCGTAAAAAAATAGCTACGCCTGTGACGCCGGCCATTGGCGCGCGCAAAATGTTGGCATTACTAGCGTGGCTACGTGTTCACGAGCGAATCTTGCTGCACATTTTCAGTGCAAGCACACTATATTAAACGGAAAATCTACTCGGCTGTATGATGCTGTGCACACACAATGAAAAATTGTTTATTCAAACTCAAAATCAGCATTTAAACGGATATACTTGTTGAAAACACGAATCTCGGATGATCCTGAAAAGATCTAAAATTAACTTGAATATATAAAATGGCGCATACACGAGTTGTAAACTCTTGAAAAAAGATCTAATTTCCATCCTTCTAAAGCTTTATAATCATACTAATCGTACTGCATTGGCACTGGCTCAAGTGCATAGTATACATAACTGACCTGATATCGTTACATTGTCAAATACTGGGATTGGAACTCCTTTATGCAATATGGACTCGACGATGACTCGACTTGTCATTGTGAACAACTTCTTGAAAAGGTTCAAAAACCTATAACCACGAAGTAAGAAAAAAACAATTTTTGCAATGTAATACTTACGTTTCAGGAATTTCACCAATGTCAGAAAAATCTTCTCGAATATCGTCAGTAGTTTCAGTCAAATTACCAGAGAATTTGTTTCGAATAATCTCTGGGATTACTGTGGATGATGACGAAAGTACTGAAAAAGAGCAGCATCTCTTTGAAAAATTGAAAAAAAATGCTGCTCACTTAGTCTAGCCAAAGGCTTGAGATGTTGCTTCATCGGATTGATGTAGAAGTCCACAGCAAAAGTGACGTTGATTTTTACATCATCATCTTGCATTTGTACAAAAGGAGTTTCGTATGTGTGGAAGTGCAGTTCAACAAATTGGTCCGGATAATCCGTTCGGAGTTTCTTGAAAAATCGGCCGATGCAGATAGAGAAAATCGAACAGCTAAAAAAATCATCAGTTAGCAAATACACTTTATCAGTTGCTAAACACAGTGGAAATCCTTTTCTCTATTCACAGAACCCTTGATAGAACTCATGGAATACATTATCTTGTTTTACTAAAATTCCCTTTTTTGACGATGGCCTGCTGATTTTTCAGGACTTTGGTTTGGAATTGCATAAAATTTGGACGGCAAGTGTGTAATTAATAGCTGAAAACTTAGTTTTCTTGGTAAGATTCTAAATGGATTAGAAAATGAAAAAGGTTAGCGGTAAGATCAGATCTAGGTCTTTACATATTTGTACGAATTTGAGAAATTTTTGGCACAATCTAATTTGGCAGGTTTTGATAATTCTAGAAATGCACAACATTATATTCAAGTATATTCTATCACAGAAACAAAAAGGAGTTTAGTATGACATGTACCGAAACGCTAGATGAAAACTTGATGATATTTTATTTTGCAGCAAATATGTCGAAGCTGAAGCTGCGGCCGAGATATTATACGAAGACCACTCGTGTCATCCAGAAAAAATTGAAGGATGGACAGGTATATTTTTTTTGAAGATTTCCAAAAAAACATAAACATAGCGGTTCGAATCTGTTGAAACGGTTTAAGTTTATAGCACTGTATCCACATTTAGGGAAACAAAAAAAAAGTTTTCGCTAACTCTTAAAAGTCCTGAGTACAAGTTGACGTACTACAAATAAGTGAAATAATCTGATGTAATCTACTCAACGTTGAGTTTTTAGAAGCTGGACTGATACCGAAAATGGCAGTTACATGGATGAGGGAAAGCGTTTCAAATTGTCTTCTCAAAAGTGCACATGAAGGAAAGCTTGTCAAGTTTACTGTCACCAAGGATTTACCTACAATCGGTCCGCGTTTGAAGACAAGGTAATTCTCCATTAATTTGGAAAAAATATGTCTCTTGCACAAACTCAGTCAGCTGACCATTTACGGAAAGTACCATATTCTTGGTGCTTGCATATAATACTGTTGTGCCAAAAATTTCTCAAATTCGTACAAATATGTAAAGACCTAGATCTGATCTTACCGCTAACCTTTTTCATTTTCTAATCCATTTAGAATCTTACCAAGAAAACTAAGTTTTCAGCTATTAATTACACACTTGCCGTCCAAATTTTATGCAATTCCAAACCAAAGTCCTGAAAAATCAGCAGGCCATCGTCAAAAAAGGGAATTTTAGTAAAACAAGATAATGTATTCCATGAGTTCTATCAAGGGTTCTGTGAATAGAGAAAAGGATTTCCACTGTGTTTAGCAACTGATAAAGTGTATTTGCTAACTGATGATTTTTTTAGCTGTTCGATTTTCTCTATCTGCATCGGCCGATTTTTCAAGAAACTCCGAACGGATTATCCGGACCAATTTGTTGAACTGCACTTCCACACATACGAAACTCCTTTTGTACAAATGCAAGATGATGATGTAAAAATCAACGTCACTTTTGCTGTGGACTTCTACATCAATCCGATGAAGCAACATCTCAAGCCTTTGGCTAGACTAAGTGAGCAGCATTTTTTTTCAATTTTTCAAAGAGATGCTGCTCTTTTTCAGTACTTTCGTCATCATCCACAGTAATCCCAGAGATTATTCGAAACAAATTCTCTGGTAATTTGACTGAAACTACTGACGATATTCGAGAAGATTTTTCTGACATTGGTGAAATTCCTGAAACGTAAGTATTACATTGCAAAAATTGTTTTTTTCTTACTTCGTGGTTATAGGTTTTTGAACCTTTTCAAGAAGTTGTTCACAATGACAAGTCGAGTCATCGTCGAGTCCATATTGCATAAAGGAGTTCCAATCCCAGTATTTGACAATGTAACGATATCAGGTCAGTTATGTATACTATGCACTTGAGCCAGTGCCAATGCAGTACGATTAGTATGATTATAAAGCTTTAGAAGGATGGAAATTAGATCTTTTTTCAAGAGTTTACAACTCGTGTATGCGCCATTTTATATATTCAAGTTAATTTTAGATCTTTTCAGGATCATCCGAGATTCGTGTTTTCAACAAGTATATCCGTTTAAATGCTGATTTTGAGTTTGAATAAACAATTTTTCATTGTGTGTGCACAGCATCATACAGCCGAGTAGATTTTCCGTTTAATATAGTGTGCTTGCACTGAAAATGTGCAGCAAGATTCGCTCGTGAACACGTAGCCACGCTAGTAATGCCAACATTTTGCGCGCGCCAATGGCCGGCGTCACAGGCGTAGCTATTTTTTTACGCGCAAATTTTACCGCATTTCATCTTCAGTGCAAGCACACTATATTAAGCGAAAAGTCTACTCGACTGTATTTAATTAACCAAACTGCGTCTCTGATCTGATAAAGTTGAGCTTCTTTCCTGGAAAATTTCTCGGAAGTTTTTTTGTTTTGAGATTGTTTTCTTGCAGAGAAATTGCCAAATCTAGCCAAAACTTGCGACATAATAATTTTTGACGTTTCCCCAAATGCGTGAGCCAAAATAAATTCACGGACACAGGACCTGGCACGCTGGCACGGACGGGGCAAGCTGGATATCGTTTTTGGGGCAAAAAGCAAAGCGGATATCGTTTTTGCGTCGGAAAAGACGGAAAATTGCGACGTTTTTTTAGTCGACGTTTCGTTTCTTGAGTGTTTTTTTTACGTTGAGGGTATAGGGTCAAAGGGAGATTCGCAAAACTTAGCGAAAATCAAGGGGGAGGTTTTGAAAATTCCTCTGTGCCAATTCATGCCAAGCCCTGCATGGACATCGCTCAAAATTGATCTACTTATGATGCTTTTCAAGATGCTGATTACGAATACTGCGTTCATCTGGCAGGTAAGCTGTCTTGTGGAGGTTACGGCAGGTATATAGTGGTTGGGCAAAGTGCGATTCTGAAGTCAGTAGACTTAGTTGAGTGGTGATTCGTCGTTTTTGTAGATGTACAGATCCCAGTCTCCTTATAAAAAGGTACCATAACCATTACTTGATAATTCGCCATCAGCCGCCAACTAAAGGGCCGGGCATACTTCACAGTTGCGATTGCGATTTCATTCGTGATGCGATTTGGCAATATTCCAACCGTCCATAACTTACTGTAAGCCCATTTTGAATGTAAATAAGGTAGTGCATTTCATCAATCCACTTAAGTTCTATACACTATGCATGTGCAGTTTGCGAGTGTTGGATCTGAAGACTTCTGGCGAATTGCCAAATCGCGTCGCGACTGAAGTCGCGTGAAGTATGCCCGACCCTTAAGTCAACCATGCAAAATTAACTCTTTGTCTCCAGCACTTTAACAACTTCTCATGAGATGCTTCTGAGAACTAATTATCAAAAGTTATCACTTCGTTTATATGCCTGGCTACCTTCTTCTTCTTTATCTTCGCCATTGTCCCGCGGGTGCAGGGTCGGCGGTGGTGCATTTTTGCTTCCATTTGACTCGATCAGCTGCTTCTTGTGGTTTGAGCTTTGCAATGTGCAGGTCGTTTCGAATGGTGTCCAACCAGCGTTGCTTCGGACGGCCACGTGGTCTCTTCCCCTGTGGATCTAGACGAAGTGCTGTTTTTGCTACTGTATTATCTTCACTTCGTAAAACGTGACCATACCATCTTAATCTGGCACCTCGCATCTTATCCGCGATAGGTGCAACTCCGAAAATGTGTCGTACATCATCGTTCGTGACGCAGTTTCTTCTCGTTAGGCCCAGTATCCATCTTATCATTCGCGTCTCCATCGTGCTCAGGATCTGCTCGTGTTTTCTGGTTGCTGGCCAACATTCGGCTCCATACAGTGCGACTGGCCTCACCACAGTCCGATACACTTTCGACTTGAGATACAACGGGATTCGTCGGTCGCAGAGTACTCCTGTTACTTGCCTCCATTTCAGCCACGCCGCGTTCGTCCTAGCACGAGCATCAGTGATCGTGTCGCAATCTGACGTCACTCGGGAGCCCAGGTATGAATATCGTGACCTTCTTCAGCGGCTGCCCATCGATGCTAATTGTGCCATCGGTTTGCTCTCCGCATTCCAGGTACTCGGTCTTTGCTACGTTCAGTCGTAGGCCATACTCCGCTAATCGTGTCTTCCATCTCACAGTCGCCTCTTCAAGCTCTTGTCTCGATCCGCTTGCTAGCTCGACGTCGTCTGCGTAAAGGAGCGTCCACGGATGCGGCAGCTGGATGTCCTTGGTCACCGTGTCCATGCACAGTATAAAGAGAAGCGGTGATAGAGCCGATCCTTGGTGTACTCCGACTTGGATTGGGAATGGCGTTGACGTTCCCACTGCACAGCGTATGGCGCCCGTCGTGTTCGTATAGAGGAGTTTGATCCAGCGAACGTACTCCTCTGGGACGTCGTGTTTCCTCAGCGCATACCAGATCAGCCCGTGCGGTATCCGATCAAATGCCTTTTCTAAATCCAGGAATGCAAAATGAATCGGAATCCGTTTCTCCAAATGCCTTTCCATTAGCAATCGTACCGCGTGGATGGCGTTGATGGTGCCAGATCCTTTTACAAAGCCACATTGATTCGGGGTGACCTCCACTATACTTCGAATGCGTGCGTCGATGACTCGTTCGAAGATCTTCATCGTGTGGCATAGCAAGCGTATTGGTCGATATGTTGAACAGTCGCTGACGTCGCCCTTTTCCTTCCAGATAGGGACTGTGACACTCGTAGTCCAGATTCGCGGCAACTGTCCGTCTACGATAATGCGGTTAAAGAGCGATGTGAGATATGCCGCTCCACGCTGCCCCATCATCTTCCACACTTCAGCAGGTATGTCGTCGGGTCCCGGAGCTTTTCCGCTGATCATCTTCCTCAGTGCCTGCACAACTTCTGCCTCCTCGATCCGGGATACCGGTCCATATGTGGGGGCTCCTTGCGGTATT